GGGGTGGGAGACTTCACCGGACGATGCAAAGAGAACTCTCATCATGTGGAACTTAACTTGTCCCTTTTGGTTGCAGGATTTAGATAATCTTGTGACCCATTAAATTGAATTCCCCCCACTGTATGGTCCATAATCATAGTCTATAATAATCTCTAAATAAATTGGCCTCTTTACAGTGATCAATAGTTTGCTGTTGAATAGGATTTCTCTGTGCACCTGTTAATTCTTGTATCAGCATGGCTGAAATTCAGTTAAAACATAATCATCTTTATATAGTTAGATGTAAATTGTACATATTTATTCATACATCACCTCAGCCCCTCTGAGGTATACTGTGAAGTGAAATAATAACATTAAGAGGGGCTGTGAGCTCTGCTCAGTACAACTGTACAATACAGTACATCTTCCAGGGAGTTGGGGAAAGACATCAGCATAATCTCGGGGTTCAGTTTGAGAGACATTCAGCACCAGACAGAGAGACGTGAAACAGACTCCAGCTGAGTTCAAATGTCTTTTTGAGTTATGGGAATGGCTTCTTGGTTTTTATCTCTTTAATATTCAAGTACGAGCAAACTGTACAACTGCATGCAACATACAAGCGGCCCTACAGTACGTGGAACTAACACGCATCTAGTTCAGTGTCTTTTTTTTTCTGTATCCGTTTTACAAAAACAAAAGAAATGTGCATGCAGCTTGGAACAGATTCCTAAGTCATTCCCCACATTGCTGCAAGAGGTGACGCAAACAGATAACCGGAAGAGTGTTGGTGTCCCCATTTTCATATTCACAGAGATGCACATGGAAACTGATCTATTCTTTTCTGTTTGCCTGTTATATCGAGACAAAAAAAAACAAAAAAACTGGACCAACAGGATTGTTGCTTTTTTTCCTTTTTTTTTTTAAATAACTACATGTTTTTTGAAAAGTTAAACTTTTTCTAGTAAAAAAATCAAGCTCTTGTGCTTTTATTTAAAACGAAATAAACTAAGGTTTGGATAAAAAGCTTTAAACGTCGGAGGTGAGGGAAGGCACTCCCTCAGAAATGTAAAGAATTACATGGTCCAATCCAGCTCTGGCATAGGTGAACAATAGGATTTTTTTTATTTTATCAACTGATATAATCTACTGACAGTGTTACTACACCTCTGTGACATTTCTAAGTGACAAATTCTTGATTTATTTGTCAACCCTTTAAGAAGGACAACACAACTAAAGAAAAGGATAAGTGGTTGTCATGTCAACCAGTGGTTGAACAACGATGATCTCATAACCGGTTGTTAAAATGTAAGACATACCACTGTACTGGTCCATCAGTTTGTCTCCCTTCTAGGCTTATTTCCTTGGGAACAGTCTCTAAGAATAATTAAAAGTTTGCTGCTTTCTAAACAGTGAAAATGGTTAAGGGCATTAAAGTCAGATTTTCAACAGCTCTCTCCCTAATTTGGAGTTCCTTCTTCTAAAACTGAGCCAAACGTCCTGGAAAAAAAACAAAAAATCAATCATTTAAAAAATGGTGTCTGGTGGGAAATGTACATGTCCTGTAAACTTTATTGTTTTGGGTTGTTTTTCTTTTTGTTGGCTTGGTTTTACACATCTAGAATCCTCAAAAGTAGAAAAAGTTCTTTGTGTGGAAAAAAAAAATTACATATATTTATTTAAAATAAATACTGATTTATAACACTGAATATTTTGAAACATCAGGGGCTCATTAATAGAATAGAATAATAGAATCAATTAACTGCATTCAATTAAAGAACTAAACTCGCCTTTTTTTTACTAGGGAGAAAAAAATCCAAAATCATCAGTTGCTCTCAAACAAAATTTGCTTTCAATATCAAAAAAAATAAATATAACTTACAAAATGACATAAAAATAAAACTAAATTAAATAAAGAATGAAATTATGAAAAAATTGTTGATTTGAAGTTCTTAGTTCTTTATATTTAGGTTTTTTGCTTCAAGGATTTTTTTTTCTTTATTGCTGAGTGATCTTTTAAACAGTCAAGTCCATCAATTCAAATTATTCATTTACCTTTAACATGCAGAAAACATTTCTAAAATATATTATTCTACAAAATAAAAACAAATTAAAAATAACTAATGTTAATTATTTATTGGGAGCCTGTCAAGGGTTTATCAAACCTTTCAGTGTAACTTTCTTTTTCTGTTGTGTTTGTTTCTTCCCTGGTTAGTATATCTGTTAATTGTATGAAACTCAGATACATTCAATTTGACAATTTGCATTAAGGCATAATAAAAACTAAAATAATGAAAAAAAAATGAAGCTAAGAAAACTAAGCAAAAGCTAAAAACAAAACAAACAAAGGAAGCAATCTAAGGATACCAACTCTATTATAGGATTGCTTCCTTAATCACTCACAGTTTGATTCCCCTTTAGATGATGTTAGTCTTGGTTTGAATGTCTATTATTCATGGTTTAGATTAAATAAAATATCTTTACATTTAAAAACCAACTAATATCATTTTCAGTTGTATTTTTTTTTCTTCAAAAAAAAAAAAAAACTTTTATTGATGGCATTGTTATTCCACATGTATCGAAAAGAACATTTTTGGAGTTGCTGCTGATTAGAGATTAGAGTTTTAGATTATTCCAGTTGTCTCTGTAGAAGTATACATATATCTTTTGTTATAATAAAAAGGGTTAGCCATTATATTTCTTTATATTGTCTGCTTACTTTTAATTACAGTTTGATTAAAACTATATCTATCCATCATATTCCCACAGCTCTACCAAAAGGTTTTTCTCCTTTAAAAATGTTTTGTTAGAGACGCACCTAGATTAGACTATCATTATTCTTCTGCATCACTGCTAAAGTTCTTGCAGAATATTAATGCATATGATATTAATAATCTTCACATTTGTCTTTCATTTACCGGTACGTGGTCTATGAAAGCCCGAAGACTATAATTCTGCATTGTATTATTTTAAGTCACATTTGCATATCATTCTTACTCGGTTCTCTGAAGAACAGCCCGTCATCTTCCAAAATATCAGACCAGCATGAGTACGTTTTTTGTTTTGTTTTGTTTTTTTGTCAGATAAAGTTTATAATTCATAATTGAATGTTGTGTTTTTATGTTTTCATCTTTTTACTATGATTACTATGATTTTTTAAGCTATGACAGTTGACAAACTTCATACATACATACATACATACATACATACATACATACATACATACATACATACATACATACATACATACATACATACATACATATAGTTTGTCTACTTTATCTTTAAAAAGTTTGCAATGACTTGCTTATTCTTCATTCATGCAAATAAATCTTTTAAGCAACCTTTAAAGAAAGGAATTTTAAAAAACGGTCTCTTCTATAAAGTTGTGCATGTATAACGAAATATTTTAGGATGCAATATAAAAACAACCTGCTTTACAAATGCTAAAAAAAAAAAAATAACCAGGGGCTTGCAAAAGTTGGCTTTTCAACTGCTAACCATGTTCCGGTCCTCATTTATCACATGTTTCCTCAGTAGTTCAATGGGTGCGTCCCCTCTACACAGATTTTCAGGATCTATCTCCCCAGCAATGATACTGTTTCTCAAATCCTGTGCCAAGTTGTACATAATTTTGTTAGGAAATTTTAGTTAAAAGTGCAAAAGTTAATCTCTGGTAATTTGTTTATTGCAGCTACATAAAATAGGACCATTGAAGTAATCCAAGCATAGAGTAAAACAGCATGTAAAGAACCAAAGACTGATGCTTCAAAAGCATAAGAGTGCAAATTGTTTGCATACTGTGTTTCCAAGACAATGGGATTTTTCTGCAGGAGACTAAAGACATTAGCTACCTTTGAAAGCTACTTTAGTGGTTTAGATGGGAGACTAAGTTGATTTGGATCAGCTGGGGGAGCTTAGCAAAACCCATGCCTATCAAAGTACATGAAGCTATTCTAAACTCTGCAGTACTGTGCAATGTTTTGCTGGGCAGTCAGGTTTAAGGAGGTGCTCAGCAGTGTAATGAACTGATATGGGTCAAACTATTGGATGGCAAAAAAAACACATAACATTTGCAGAAATATGCAGGTAACAACAGGTACCATTTTATATATATATATTTTTAATTATCTTGTGTATAACCCTCTTTTTAAAGGTTGTAAAATAAAATACCCGTTGACATTTTTACTGTTTTTAATTCACTTTCTGAAAGGGAGGGAGATACAACCAAAATCTGGAATAAACTAAAGTAATGTAATTGATTTGATTTGATTTTTTTCGACCACCAGAGTATGTTTGAGTCATTGATGGGATTGTCAGTTATTATAACTGTGATATGAATCAAATACGGATTTGTTTTTAACAGTAATTTTTGCTTGACAATTAACCCTATTATTTGATAAATGATGCTCGCTGTGTGCAGCAAGGTCTTCATTGTTCCACCAAGGATACTTTCAGGTGAACTAAGTTAGAAAATAGAGCCAAAATGGTGGACCATCTGTTACTGTTACCCAACATCTTGCAGAGGAGCTGCAGATAAAATTTGATGTCCCTTTTAAATCTTTTATATCATGCATTCCCAAGACTGACCACAAAACAGGAGCCTTTTGCACACCGTAAAAACATTTTGTGCCCGTAGTAAAAAAAAAAAAAAAAAGAAAAAAGAAAAGTAAATGAACACCACATAATTCACTCTTAAAAGACTATGGCCTCAGAGTAGCCTTGGTAAACATGTTGAAAAGAGAATATTTAGACAAAGAGAGGGACAAGTGATCTAGGCACCAGAAGAAGGCCCTGTGCTTCCAGACTGAACACCCATGCAGGGGAGGGCGGGGCGGCACCCTAACTGGGACCAGAATACCGGCAGTCTGATGGGCTTCTGGAGGAGGCCACTACACAAAGTAGTCCGCCCCCTGCAGTCAGCGAAGGGATTTTACCTCGTTCTTGAGGCCATACATTCCAATGCTTACATACATTTCTTTGCTAGGTTGATTCAGCTAAAAAAAACCACCCTGTTTCTTTTGATTCACTCATAGCTGTCATATTCTGACTGGAGAGCAAGAGACTGACTATGAGACGGTTATTTGAATGGAAACGAAAGACCGAAATATGACGCTCCCTACAACAGATAAAAATAACTGCAGAAGGAGTGATTGTCAGATTTCAACAAAGCTTTCCCTTAATGACCATTTCCGATGTTTTTCTACGTGTCTGCCTTGTATTGTATGTGCCTCTCTTGTTCATTTAATTCCTCGTTTGTTTTTCTTCCCCTTCCCCTGAGGGATGGAATAGAGCTGTTGGTCCACTAGGATCGAACCCCAGGTGGTCCCGGGGAGCTGTCAAGAGATGATTGGGAAGCTCTCCGTGTCAAGGATGCCAGCGTTGGATCAACCAAGGAGGATGGAGGGAATAGCTTGTACCAACCAATGACTGTGTTTGATAAGTCTAGCTCATCCAGCAGGATCTGTGCAACTCCCATGAAGCTTTTATGGTCCATTCGGCCATAATCTCCCCAGACGATAACCTAAGGGAGAAAATTGAATTGAAGACATGCAGCTCTGTCATGTGCAATGAGAATAAACATAAAGTAAGAGAATTTAAAAAAAGTTGTGGTATTCACCTGTAAGACCTTCCCCTGGGGGCTCTCCTCAAATAGTAGTGCTTGCTGGTACAGGGGGTCAAGTGTTTTCCGTGCAATCTTGGTTTTCTTTTTGGCTACATATGCCCCATTGTTTAGTAGGTAGACTTTGACATATGGAGCTAAAAAAAGAAAAACAATAAAAGATTTTTTTTTATTTACAGGCACAAGTTGATTCAGATTCTTTCAAAGGAGCTGGGTTAAGACTGTCTGTATTCAGAACACACGCTACCAAAGATATGTAGGAAAATATGTGCTCTTAGGAAAATAATAAACAATTATTTTCTAGATTTTAAAGATCTAGCTGTTGGTTCAGGTTCATACTCTTATGGTTTAACATCCTCAATAAGTAATAAGAAGATATAAGGGTATAAGGTGAGAACATGATACGGCTGCAAGCGTTCTAAATAAACATCCGCTGCCCTTTAGGTGCAGGTCCTTACCAGGCAGAGATTTGGATCCTGGCTTTTGTACGAGTCCTCGAGCTCTGATTACCTCCACCTCCAGCTGGCCTTTTTTCTCTATCATTGAAATCTGAATGTCACCTGGGTAAACATAGAAGAACAGTGTTTAAAATGATGAAGATAAGATGTTTACCACTTGTTTTAATTAATGTCAGATAATTCTGGTCAAGATTCTAGCAAATGGTCACTAATTTCCTTTACTTTTTTTTATATTCACAGCTTTGCTCAGAGATGGGCCAAAAAAAGCTTTATTTAAGGTGAAACATTTCTTAATATTTCAGATTAAATGGACCGAAGGCTACAGGTCTTGATGCTGAATTTCTATTTTTTTGTGTAATCAGATTTTTATTATGCTTGGCCTTTTTATTCCTTTCCACCGCTGCCCTTCAAAAACTCTATCCATGCCACTGCTGAACATAGGAATAGGAATATTCAAACATTAGACTATGCATTAAGGAGAGGGGCATGTGTTCTGGAGATTAATATGTTTCTGGGAGAAATTAACCTCATAATCCCAGAAAAGAAGCTAAAGATGTTTTAAGGATCCTAAATTCTACCGCTAAAGTGTCCTCAACGACCCATTATACTAGAAACTACATAAAAAGCCAAATTACAGTAGGCAAATACACCTGGGGGAAACGAGTAATAAGTAAATTAGAATTTGATTTAAAACTATTGCAAATTCCAATTCCAAATTTCCAGGAGTTGTAATAAAATATAAAAACAATTTAAAATGCTGAAAACTACTCTAAATCCATTATTAGAAAAAAATTAACAATCAGTAAGCAGGCAATGAAATTGAAACAAATAAACAAAATACAGGAGAGGTAACATAAGAAAAAACAGAAATAAGGTCCGACATTTTATTTGAAAAGGAGAAAATTATTTAAAGGATAAGAAATAGAACTGTAAAATTAAAAATGTTAGATCAAATGTGCAATGAAGGGAGCAGAGAGGACAGTAGATAGATTGATTAGAAGTAGGAGACAAGATGAGAAGAAATTACAAAGTATAAGGAGGGACATGACATGAGAAAAGAAGACATGAGACAAGTGAATAGTTAAGAAAAAAGACAACTACAAATTAAAAAGTAAGAAAAGAAAAAAAAGGTCTATCTTCTGACTAAGAGTGGAGTAAAAAGCACTCTTCTCACAGATGAGAAAAAAAAAAGATTAGATAAGAAGGGAAAGTAAAAGCTGAATAAAAAGACGACACAAGCGACCAGTATGACAATTTAGTACCTATGGCAGGAGTAGCCAGTGTTTGCCTGCCAACCAGCTGTGCTGGTCCCAGTCCATCCAAGAAATCGCTGAACTGGCTGCTGGCACCCAGATTGACTCCAGAAAAGATCAAGCTAATCATAAAAGAAAAAAGAAATAGAGAAAGTTTGTTTCCTGTTGAACTCAGGTTGTCATTGTAAATCTGATTCTCAGGTAATTTGTTGCAGATCGAGGGTTTGGTGGTTTACTGACTTTCCCTCAGAGTTGCAGCTGTTCATGCTGCCATTGTTTGATTCTCTGCTGGGCTGCCGGCTCATGTTCCTGGACAGCTCCACAGCCATGCCGGTCTCCGTGCTCCTCTGGATGGGGGCTCCCTTTTCCCTTTTAGTCTTCCCCTCTTCATAATAAAGAGAGAGGACAAAAGAGCAACACTTTTAAACCAACCATTTCCAGCCTTACAATTTAACACAACAGATGAGCATAAGCTCATGAGATGAGGCAGACTGACCTAAAATGTTCCCAGTCAGCAGTTTAGATTAAAACGGTTGCATCACATCCAATCCATGTTTTTTTTTTGTGTGTGTGTAAATCTGTTTTTTTAAGTTGAATTCAGTCAAAACAATACTGTACTCGTATAATGTTTGATGATGATATATGAATATAAGGGCTTTGAAAATATTTGCAACATTGTGCAATTTCTACTTGTACAAAAAAATCTTTGTGTGACTTAGTAAGCATACATTTTAAATGAAAAGAAATATGACAAAAATGGTGTCTTGTAACAGTATTTTGACCCTTTAAACGCTGTTAAACTTCACCACATCACAACCTCAAACTTTCATGTATTATATTAGAATATAAAATACAAAGCAGCAAATAAATGTGTAGTGGAAGAATTCTTCTTTTTATAATTTCTGAGAACTAAAAACAAAAACTTGCTGTGAGTTTAGTTGCACAAGAGAAGCCAGGTGTTAGATATAAAGAGAAGAATTAAAGCAAACCAGACTGTACTGTTAGTTCAGTCATATGTATTAAAACGTTACTTTACTTGTGGATGAAAAAGGTCTAACATAAGAAAAAGTTCAGCTTCCCTAACCTTGATTTGTGAAGCCCGGCCAGCCACATCTATAGTCTGCTCTAATAAGTAGTAAATAGAAAATCTCGGGGTTGCAAATACAGTAGAAAAATCGACTTTCCAGCTTCAACCGCTAAATGACCACAATATTTGTATTCAGAAACTTAAGCATCTTCCTGCCCCTTTAACCATTCCTAAACCAGATTAAATAATCACAATATAATAACAGCTAATATGCTGGATGCATCTTAACCTTATAAAACCAAAAAATATAAGGTCTAAATACTGAGTCTGCCTTACCTAAGTTTGCAGTCGTCCATCCATAACAAGTAGGGGTTCCTTTGCAAATAAATGTTGATGTCTGTACTTTTTCTAACTCCTCTCTCCCATCTCTCCATCAGAGATAAAGCAGCAGAGGTAAGAGCCCCCCCGGCCACATGCATTCTAATAGCTTTTTTATGTCAGGAACAAAGCAAGGGACAGGCAGTGTTCGGCTTTCATCCCAAATGTCCCCGCTGGATAAGTGGATGCTGGACATTTAAGCTCTGAGGCAGCAGATTGTTTTGTCTTTTCCAGAGCAAAGGGGTATTTAGATATTCTTGGTGTTGGGGGGGATTATATTTGAACTGTCAAGACAAATAATCAAGATTTTCCAAATGTTGCACAGATTTACAACAGTTTTTTTATATGTTTGCCAATAACAGATTAAGCGCAAGTAAGTCTGAAGTGATGTTACCTCTGAAAATAGTTTAAAATCTTTAGTCAGCATTAGACTGAATATTAACCTGACCGGCTGAGCAATAATCCAAAGGCGTTTGATGTTTTTACATATAGAAATATTTTGAAATCACTCAAGAACCAAAACATATTTTTTCAAATTATTATTACTCAACATGGGATATGAAAAAAAACATAACCCAAGAATGTTTGACCAAATAAAACTTTTTTAGACTCTTTCCCTAAAAGTGCTACTTTAAGTCCAACTGAGGTCACTCCAGGGCATCCAGCAGTGGTCTCGACACAAACATGGCAAGTAGGGGAATCCTACTGCTGATAATTTTTGCGATGTAGCGTCATATGAGGTAGAGGATGTCTGTCCATCAATTTAACCGTGGATAAAAAAATAGGAGGAGAGGAAGGTTCTGTGGGAGATGGATGAAATTATAAATGATTTTTGTGGGTACATGCCACCTCTGTTTGGATGGGGCCTAAGTGAAGATCCCTTTGGTTTCAGATCATAAAATAAGACGATCACTGTTCTCTTAACCTCTACACAAAAAGCCTCATTTATTTCCCCAAAATAATCATGTGAATAATTAACAGGATCTTGTTCATAAGAGGTTTATGTTTTAATTATACCCGAAAGCTACATTATATGATCAAGTTTTAGCAGGTAACTGTGTTGCATGTGTGACTCACCTGGACCACTGATCTGTGAGGTGCTGCGGCTGCGGTGTTTGCCGACGATTGCCACTACACGAGCGCTGATGCTGGAGCGTCTCTTTTTGCTGCCACCCCCTACTGTGCCCAGCGCTGTGTCCGATTGGCTGCCATCTGTGCGTTCCTGCGTGTAGATCTCACCACTCACACTGGAGCTCTTCATCATGTTCCGGCCCATTGATCGCATCTGTCGACTGTAAGAAGGAAGAAGCTGGATGAATGCAGGACCTGGTGCGTGTCATTAAGGGTGATCTTACACATTGTCTAAAGTAAAAAATGCATGAGAACTATAAAAAGAGAGGAAAGTTTTATTTATTTTTGCAAAAAGTGGACCAAAAAACATATGGGGATTTTAATAAACATATTTTGGAGATTGTAGCTGTTGTAGGACTGAAGCAGGTTTTTAATCAGCAACATTGGCATAATATTAAGGATTTAAGTTAATTCTTCTCAAACACGACAGGAAACATGAGCAACAGCAGCAAAGTGAGCGATGTGGCCTCCCAGGGTTTTGGAGGAGCCAGCGCAGGTCGTTCCCTTCAGAGGGTGTCAGTGTGCTGTAGGACAGAGCAGCAACACTGCCCCTTTCACTCAGACTTTCTGGTCCCTGTGGTTCAACGACAGCTACAGTCCAATGGGCCAGAGAAGCCGGAGAGAGAGCGGGTACAGGGAGGGTTGTTTGAGGCCTCTCCACTGCCCCCTGAAGGGGAGTTGGAGGATTTCTGGTAGAGCAGGGGTAGGATGAAAGGGGAGGATCCAGGTCTGGAGGATGGAGGGGGTCCAGGCAGTCACAGCACAGGAGACATGCTAGGAGAGATCTTCAACATGCAGGGGGAATCACACAAAATACACAAACACACGGACAAGAGGATAAATACAGTGTTTCAGTGCAAACATGTCTGTAGTTTCTCACTTTATAATGTTCAACTTAATCTTTCAATTTTGTGCATATACAGCAGTTCTCAGATGTACACAAACTCTGTTAAAAGGCCATATTTGTACAGTAGTATGTTATTTTTTAAATTCAAACTGACTGATTGTGATACCGACACTTGTCAGGGAGGCCAACAGCAAAACTTAAGGAAGAGTAAGAAAATAAAACTGAACCCCACTCCCACAGAAAGCCACTCTGGGTCTATGAGCAAGACCCTTAACCCCCCCTACTGCTCCCCATAATGGCAGCTGCCTGCTCCCCAAGGGGGTGGGTTAAATGCGGAGGTAAATTTCTCCAATGTGAGGTCAATAAGTTCAATTGTTATTAGAGTTGCTCTTGTAAAGTGTGTAAATTGCCCAAAATGCAAAATCAATTAGATTAAATGTATAACAGAGCAGTTTTTTGTTTATGAAATTATATTTACAGCTACAACCAGTCCTTTTAAAGACTTTATGAAGAGTTTGACACCAGAGTCCTACAGGAATTACTAGAGTAAAATCACAGATTTTAGTTCCTGCAGACTGCTGTGACATCATATATTTAGATCGATAGATCATGAAAAGAATGACATTGTATGAAGATAATTTAAATTTAGACTTTTATAGCCAGATTTTGTTTTTAATTTCCTTATTACACTCTATTTTCCTACTAAACACTAAACCAAATAGGTCACAAAATTTGCAAAAAAAATGTTTTGGAATTATACATTTATGGTCTGTTTTTGTCAACCCCAAAGACTGACTTTTTAACTGAGTAGTGTACATCTTTGAAATCCACCATGTTATAACATGAAGTGCATGCATTGCAAATTATAGGAACAGATTAGGTGAATTACATTAAATTACTCAAAATATCAATTGTAGAGTCCTTTAGAGCAAGTTGGTTGATGGAGTGCAAAAAATGGGGCTCTGTGTGTTTGTCTTGTCCAACATCTCCTACTTTTCCATCTCCTTTCTATATTTCTCATTAAATTGAAATAACTGGCCTGGTACGAACAAAGACAATAACAGCTTCTCTAAAATGAAAATGGAGCAAAGAGCTGCAGATTAGACCAAACCTGGTTAGCTGTTATGTGTTCCATCCCAGTGTTGTAGATGAATGTGCATACCCTTCAGTTTTTAACACCTTTTTATAACCACAAACTTTTTTTTTCCTATAGTTACTTTCTGTGTGTAACAGGCAGAAATAAAAAGGGGCACAGAGAGCAGGGGAATGCAGGCAGCAGTCTCAGGCACCAGATTGGAACAGTGGTTAACCTCTGCTGTCTCTCATTCTACTTCTACAGAACTGCTCCCTTTTGTTAGGATTTTAAGAGAAAACCACCAGATGGTTAAAAATAATGAGGTGGAGGTAAAATGAAACACAGTTGCCTGATTTAAAAAAAAAACAAATACAAAACCAGTTAATACAGCATGAAAGCATTTGGACTGACCTGCTCCTAAGCTGTGAAGAACAAGGTTTTCTTTTCTCTCCTTCCCAGACTTCAATATATTAGCCAGATAATAAGCTGCACTACATCAACCTCTGGCCCATGGAGGACCACTGGGATTGGGTCATTTGTCCCTGTCAGTGCCCTGTTTCTGGTCAGCCAGCATGGTGCGTGTGTTTGGGAGGGGAGCATATTTTTCATATTTTATTAGTTAGGTGAGGGTTGAAGGTGAAGTTAGTACTCTTTTTTTTTCTTTCTTTTTTTCTATTATTGTCCTATTTTTTTTCTACAGTAAATGACAGTCAGGTTTAGGAAAACATAATTTCGGTTATGTTTAGGGTAGGGTCAGGGTTAAGCCTTAGAAAATGTTTGTCGTCAGTTGGTCGTCAGCTGAACCCACTCACACTCTGCTGATATTTACTTTTTCTTCAGTTCTCGTCTATTTTCATATATATTTTTTTTTGTGTTGTCCAGCTCTGAAGTGTGCTGATCTCCAGGCCTCACGCAGCTCTGTGTATTCAACACCATGACTTTGCAATAATGAAAGTTATTGTATGAACTCACATAAAATCAGTAAACCTACAAATAACCAATAAAGGCTTTTTTTTGGCTCCAAGTTCTGCAGGTAAATGTTTAAGCCACAACAGACTTTCACATGATCTTTCCCAGTGACTGTGATCTTGAGGGAGCTGATATAACCCATAGGTCTGTTTCAGCTCAGAGTGACTTGATTTGGGCTCTAAAGATCTTTTAATAACAGTCCACTTTATCCCAAATTTCTTCTGTTCTGTATCAGGCATTCACAGGTTAAAAGAAAAACAAACAAAACAAAAAATAAATCCACCTGGACTTCTCTGTATGAAGGCACTAAATTGCTTTGTGTATCCGAGCAACAGGGTATTGCCCACATGTAGGAAAAAAAAGGAATGTATGATGTGATATTTGATTAAATGGTTGGATTAGTATATGTTATTTTAAAACAAATACAGTCTTTTATCTTATATAGGCTTCAGTTCAATAACATTTAGAACCACATGATGAGTTTTTTTCCCCCTATAATTTATCTCAGCAGGAGGACAAGATATTTCTATTATACTAAAGGTTTACATTGACACCATGAGTGAAAACTAACTCTTTTACTAAAATATATATTTTTAATGTAACCAGTGCAAGCCAAAAATATTAAACCTTGAATTTTTTCCTATTTAATCTCAAAGCATACTAATTAAGGGTACAGTAAAGGTGTTGCTCTTTGAGATAGAGGTAGAGCAGCAGAGTCCAACTCAAAGCTGTCCCACAGAAAACCACTGCTTTCTCTCGCTAAAGCTTCATGCTTGTTGTTTTTACTTCTGTTGCATTAAAATTGCTTTGAAACCTACATCTGGAAGCTGTGTTGTATTTAATGTTTTCAGTTGTAATAATCTGTCAATGTCAATAATTTCAGTTGATTTAGGCTGATAGGCTGGCTTTGTGTTAGGTTCTAATTACTTCCTTTTACTATCATAATCTACCATAATCTCTTCATTTGTAAGTTTTTGAGGTTTGTACTTCAAGTCCTTCCTGCATAGTTATATTCCATTTAGTGATCTTTCTGTATTCTGATTTTCATTTCCCAGCTAATCTACTAGCACCAATGAGTCATTTTTTTCACCTATACCTTAGCCCAGTAATTGCCTCAACTTATTGTAAAAGAGCATGAAGACAGAAATATATACTGTAGATCTAGCTTATTTGTTCACATCCTACTGTGTTCCTCCCACACAGACTTTGGTTTATTATTTTTTTCTCCCAAATCCAGATTTCTGTTACAGTAAATTTAAATTTTTTATATCAGTTTTTTATCAGTTTTTTTTTTTAGGTCAGGTTGTCTGTCTGCCAGCTTTTCCCATATATAAGTAATAATTTGTAATGTTTATATGTACATTAATCTAATGTTGTTTCTTCTTTTCGAAGCTTTTACTTTATTCTATATTAATATAATTTGAATTTGGTTAATTATTTAATTCAAGTTCATTTACATTTCCTCTGAGATAAACAAGCTGTGGTCATTACATCATAAAACACTGATGTTGCTGTTTTTCCTCAGTCTTGAAGGAAGGAGGGATTGATTACTGAGGAGGTGGAGAGTCACTGTTACCTGGACTCCTCTGTGTCTCCTGCTACAGTGTGTCTCCTGCGCTTTAACTCCTGAGAGAAGCGCCTCTTTCCAGCTTCCCTCTTTCTCTCCTCCTCTCCGTTTACCTCCCATGAGATTCTTCTTTCCTTCTTGTCTTCCTCTAAAGACTTGGATCTTATTTTGTATTAAAATTTGTCAAATTCGGTGCATTTGTGCGATTGTTTGTATGTTATTATTTGGGTTGGAGAGGAGACGGAATGCAAACAAAGATGAAGCATGCAGCATGCAAGAAAAAAAAAGATTAGCATGCAGGTTTAAAAAAAGGAAAATATAGTTCAGATTTGACCAGAGCAGCATCTTAAAGACTTACCTGAGCCGTCCCCCAGGTCGCTCTGATTGTATGGACATATAACTGGTGCTACTGAGGCGAGAGGCACTGCTGGCACGGGAGAGGGCAGACACGTCGCTCATGTCACTGTCAGAAGATCTGGCAGACATGTTGTCACTACTGCGCCTCTGCTCTGCGTACATCTGTGGAAAAAGCACTCATTAAAATAAAGCTCAAAAAAGTACATTCAGAATTAATCATTTAAAGGCCCCCATAAAGAAGGGTTGAGGATGCATACCTCCCGCTTGGTCTGGACGTCTGTTTGAGGATCGTGGGAGGCTGAAGGCCGATAGGAATGTACTTTCATTGGCAGCTGTCGGGCTCGCTCCTCTACTGCTAGGGCTGATACAAATGAAAAGAAAAAAGGGAGGCCATATAAAAAGAAATCAGAACAAAAACTATCAATGGAATAAAAAAAAAGCTGTTATTCAGGATCCTAACACTAGGTGGAGTATAGCCCTGGATAACCTTTAGTATGGTAGGAATTTTAAAATATTTACAAATGACTTTACATCATTAATAATCAACCTGGAAAATAAGTATCGTCTAAAGATAAAAACCCACAGATATCAGACTTATGCACTATTTTAACCCTGCAACATGTTCAAAGTCCCCAAAGCTGATTTTAAAATCAAAGTGTTTAAATGATTTCTACAAGACAAAAAAAAAAAAAAAACATTTTCTAGGAAAAGGAGATATAGTGCTCTCACACCTAATTTATCTTTTATTATAGAGGGGCAATAAATAAGCACAACAATTCTAAAAACACTAAATAAAGTCCTTAACACAACTACAAACAATGAAACTGAACAATGGAATACGTAAAATGCTAAAAGCATTTAGGTCATATCCAGCTTCTGTCTTTTTTGCCTTACATTATTATGAGTTAAAAAAAACTAAACATACCATGCTCTATGCTGCTGCTCTTCATAGGGAGCTGTGGAAGCTGCCGACCTCTTCGACTGGACATCGCTGTTTGAGGAGAAGTGCTGCCATGTCGGTATGCTCTAACAAAAACAATAAAAGGCACAAAACGGGCGCAATGACAAGACATTGTTAGCTGCAGTTACTACAAATCAAAAAACAACTTATTTACAAACCAAATAGCTGAAGCAAATAACTGTCATGTGGAGAAAAGGACAGTTAACAGTGAAGTTAAGAAAGCAGGAAAACGGAAAAAAGAGGAAAGTTTTCTAGGTATGTCTTCTACTCATCTATCTATACATTAGTGTATAAAGGCTTCACATTCTAAAACAGCACAATGGAAAAAACTACTTGAATGAGAATAGGGACACAAACACAGGGGAGGGGGTTAACACAGCTAACAGCATGCACCTGTCCGTTCGTGGTGAGTTAGGACAGGAACCTGACAGCACTGTCTTTACAAAGGGCTTTAGGGGCCCCCCTCTCCCTCTACTGCCCCTCAGGATAGAGGTTGGCTGAATTCGACTGTCGGCAGCAAATAAAAAAAAACAAATGATACAAAAATAAGAATAGTAAGCCGTTTAAAGAGAGAAAAATAATAACCGATTGAAATATTGCTGTAAGTTTTCTTCCCTCTACTGTTCATACTATTTTGTTGTGAGACAAAGACAGAATACAACTCGAAATGGGATTACTAAGAAATAATTGAAAAGACATTTAGAAAGGAATTGTGTATTTTGCTATACGGCAGCAAAGTTTACATCGTAGCAATCTAAAACAGAGCAATAGACTCTTGTTTTAGATCGCTACGATGTAAACTCTTGTTTACATCTCGTAGATTTTCAATTTGAGAGGCAGAAATGAATGTGATTTTTCTCTTCGATTACTTAAACTATATCGAAATGAAACACTACCACTATATTTAATCCAACATGTTATTTGCAGAACATTTTAAAGAAAGATCCCAATGTTGTGGACATGTTTAATGCATGGATTGCTTAAAATCTTTAAATATATTTTTTTTGTGCTTAAAACTTATACTTTTGTCAAATAACCAGCTATTGTTGTCTTAAATGTTTTAATCCTTAGGAGGAAAATGAAAATCAATCAAAATCACTATTAACAAGTCAAACCTGAACCAAATAATGCACATGGTAAATATCTAGGGTGGAGGTTCACACCAAGCATATACAAAGCTTTAAGAAAGAGCTGTGAACAAATAAGTGTGAGTGCTTTGGAGGTAGGAACTATCATTTCATTACAAACTACAGAAAGGAACCTTTGGGGCATTTTGTATACCTATAGCTACAAGTTAGGTTAAGCTACTGTACCTTTTCTCGTCTCTAACACAAACTTCAGTAAAGATTACGACATTCAAGAGTATAGCGCCCCCAAATGGCACCATAGAGTAATGCGTTATTAGTTATTATATTATCTGGAGTTATTAGTATGTAGCGTTAGTCATTTCTTATCATGTCACATCAAATATGGTGCAATTTATGTTATAGGCTCTAATAATTCCAGTGTTATCATTCTTTCAAGTGTTAAATAAATTGGGTTCCATCAGCTTAGCCAAAACTATTCATATTCTTGGCAGGTGTAGATTAAGAAATATTTCAATACAATCAAGTTATTTTTGATAAGAAACACGATCAATGAAATAGAAGTTTATGTGATAAAAACTATTACTATCTCTCTTAATTATCAGTGAAAAAAATAAATAACACCAAGCAGTCAAACCCTTCTTAGAGATGCACTTTTTTTCCCCATCTCATCTTGGCTGCTAACTCCTATTCTTTAAGACAGGAAGCCCTTTGTGACCTGGCCCTAATCTTTAGCTACCTAAAAACTGGCTGTAGCTGTGAAACACAAAATTTTAGAGTAATATATATATTTTGTAGGTTTTTGTGGTACTAGAGCCCTTAATCAACGGTTTTCAAAAATGAAATAGGAAGAAAGAGAAGGGGAAAAGACACACGGCAAAGATCAAAACCCTAGATGGCTGCTCTGATGGCTAATACACCTCTTAAATCATCCTTCTACCTTCAAATGATGCATCACCCCAAAAAATTAACAATAACTTTTAGTCAGAAGAGTAATGTTAGTAAAATTTTTTATATAAATTTAAAGCCCAACTTACAACTAAAATAATTGTATATCTTAATATACAATTAGATTCAATATGTATTCAGCAATGCAGCAATTAGTTTGGTATAAATTGAATTCATATCACTCCAATTGATTCTGATGTAGTACACTTGTATCAGGTTCAGTTTACACTATCAGGCCAAGTCCAATTTAAATATTAAGTATACTATAGCAACATTCATTTGAATTGATGGGATAATGCCAGCTATTAAACAGTTATTTAACCAAAGAAGCACCTTTCAGTCACTCCTGCTTCAGATTAGTTTACATAATGATTCAATTAACAATTAAATCAGTCAGACAGGAAACCAAAGCGTAAATGTCAGCTCAGTGACCTCAAACGTGGCAGAACCCTTAAGATCAAACTGTACAACACTGCACTGACAAGCTACGTATCATAAACTACATATTTTCATGCTCAGAGTACGGTCAGAAAGAATGGAGTGGTGAGAACATAAGAAAACGAAACTGAATGAATGGATGAATGATCTTACCTATCCCCATCTAGACTTTTTCTGCTACCCCATGGACAGTTTAGATTTGATGAATTAATACTTTCCCTGTTTAAACAACCAACAAAAAGAGGAAGAGAAAGAAAAAAAAGTGTGGAAAACAGCTACCCCTTAAATGTGAGAAGACTGCCGCCTGAACATGAAAAAACTATGATTCTCTAACTAAATCCGTACTTTTTTGGTGGGGGATTATAAAAGCAATATAACAGAGAACTGTTCATCATGTAAACTCCTTTTCTTTATCTAATAACAATGTTGAACCAAACAAATGGCTTTAAAGCCAAATTACTGTTTAAAATGACAGCAGGAGTTCAGCAGAGAAGCAGGCACAGCAGAGAAAAAGTGGAATTACAAAGCTTTAGATTTAGGCATTTCCAGGAAAAGGGAATGAAACAACAACATAGATCATAAGGTTTGTGATACTTTATATAAAGGTTGAGCTCCAAGTGGCAGGAAAAGCTTCCAGAAGGAAAAGATAAAGAGGTTTGAGCAGGAATGCAGAGCAGAAGCAAGAAGTGAGGAGACAACAGATAGGAAGGTAGGCCTGATATACCTCTCTTCCTCTGGGGCCACATGTTCTACTAAGATCCTGGGGTTTGGGGAAGTCCTGTGGGGCAAAGAATTGGAACACGTAGAGGGGCAGGAGGAGGAGGTGGAGGAGGAGCTTTCCAGGGTGAGAACACCAGGAGATTTTATTAGTAAAAAACCATACATTTAAAGCATCTATCATGGCACAGAATCAGACAGCTAACAGAGACATATAGAAAATCAGAACTACAAAAACATATTTAGAGAAAATAGGGATCATACTGTTTGACTGTGTCTATTTTTTACTATCATCAGGCTATTTTAGTAAGATGCAAAAAAAATGTTTGAACACATGACCTGAACTTTATATGTTGTAGTAAAGTAATATCAAAACAAACTAGCTTAGTTGGAAAACACCAAATCCACAAATTGTCCAGCTCAAGACGTATGTAAAACTGGGAGTAGGCTTAAAAGGGTAGGCTTAAAACTTTCCTTTTTGATAAAGCTTATGGTTAGATGGCTCAGGTTATCATGAGCTATCTCTATAGTTATGCTGCTATAGGCTTAGACTGCTGGAGGACATATTAATTACACTTACTGTTACTGTGCAGGTAACCAGGTAGTTAGATATGTCTATGTTATACAGTATAAACCACTGGATTTGGAAACATTAAGTCTGTCATAAAGGCAGACCAAGATATTAAAAAATAAATAAATCAAATGAAATCCCCACAGTGCAATTCAGTTTTAGCCTACCAGCCATAATAAACTGGACAGGAGACAACAATCAATCAGGCAATCGGAAACACTATCTATGACGTAATTTTGCAAAATAAAAAGTTTGAAAACACATAATCCAAGCAGAGGCCAAGGTTTGCAATGCCCCATGTCTAGTTACTGCTGCCAGAATTATTTAAAAGCAAGATGGCAGAAGAAATAAAATAATTTGTATATTTGTTCGTTTTCCTAGGGAGCGCAAGGTAGCATCATCCTGATGGCATTAGACAGAATTTCTGACTAAGAATGTGGTCAGAATGCCTCATGACCTGTTTAGGCTTTCATAACACCTTGGTTTTCCAGGGAGAACCCAGATCTCAGCTGAACTCCACAAAGATTGTTTTTGCCTGTTTAAAACTAATAAAAGTGTTAATTTATTTTAAGTAATTTAGTTCTTACTCCGCAGCTGCTGCAGCAAATTCATTCAGGGATAACACTTTCAAATACGTTTTGTTAATGACATCTCATATGGCTTTAATCTAGATTGCAAATATTGGGAAGATTTCTTAGCCTCTTAGGCAGCCATATATTTAAAAGATGGAGGAACTGAGAGTAGTCCAACTGTAGACCAACAAGGACATAGCTGTCCACCTAAACTGAGAAGCAAGGTAAGGAGAGCAGTGGTCAGAGTAACTCTGAAGGGGCTGCAGTAATGTAGAGCTCAGGTGGCAGAAACTTCTGACATGTCAAGTATTAGGTATATGCTACAGAAATCTGGGCTTTGTGAGGGAGTGGCAGGAAGAAAGGCCTTTGCTATGTTTGTACCGATTTTCAAGAGAATTTCGAGCAAACTTTCAAAATCGTGCACATGGAAAAAAAGAAGAAAAATTTGAATTTGCTACTGTTTTAAAACTAAGTACTTAAGTTGCACAAGGCATAATTTCATCCAAAGATGGCTATGAGGCATTACTTTAACAAACAGGAAGTAGAGGTTGCAAACTGGCATAGATCACACAAATAAAAAAAAAATGGGGAGGGTTTTTCTAGGAAGGTGTTGCTACCAGCAAGTTGTGACTTTTCTTTAATGTCAACTAGTTTTGGGGATGTTAAATACTTCAATAAGATGTAGAAAAAGAAAAGCAATTCTACTGCATGCAGTAAAGGGAATGGAGGGTGCCATGGACACAACTGATAGTAATTAACTGAGAAAAAAGTTCACTATTTAACAATTTATTCTACAAATGTATTTCCAACTCCCATATACCATATAATAAACTTTTTAAAACTTTTTTTTGCCTTTCCCCCCAAAAAAGTTTAAAAAAATCATGAAAATATTTTTGAATTTTGCTGTTTTCATTAATATTTTAAGTGCAATGTCTAAAATTGCGCATAAACATTAATGTAAATATGGCTTCTGATGAAAGAAAGCTATAAGAAATCTGCTCTGCAGTTTACCTCAAAAGCTAGTCAAACTTCACACCTTTTGGGCTTCACGCAAAATGCAGTGTAAGCCAAAACTCACACGGCACATCAACCTTAACACAAAATCTCAAAAGGCAATCCCAGCATCATGCTATTGGGGACAGGAGAGCTGGACAGAGTTTATGGGAAAGATAAATGAAGCTAAACCGAATGAAAAACCTGTTTGAAGCTGAAAAAGTAGCAAGACTGGGTTGAAGTTCAGACTCCAGGAGGATTGACTGTAAACACACATGCGGAGTTGAAACTGAATGGTGTAAAGGCCATGTATTTGATATAAAGCAGTCTGAATTCAAGCCCCCCCGACCCCCCTCAAAAAAAAAAAAACGATTTAATTGCTCAATAACATCAGAATTTTGCAAGATGGTAATCAACATGGTACAACTTTAGTGTATGTGTCTATAGTTATAGTAGTATAGTATTGATCTGGTTGAACTGTAAAGTGCCTTGAGATTACTTGTGTTGTGAATTGGCGCTATATAAATAAACTGAATTGAATTGAATATAGTGTATGAATGTTTACTGATGCAAGCAGTAATATCTAACATGTTCATAATTCCATGGTAAGAATTTTGCCACAAACTATAAAGATCTGAGCCCCATTAGGTCCAAAAGCGGGAAAAGGTAAATCAACACTAATAAAAAAGAAAAAAAAAATGTAGCCTTTTTGACAATGAAAAAAAAAACATAAATACAAAATAAAATAAACACACTTGCAAAAAAAAACTGCTCAAGCTGAAGTAAAAAGACAAATCATTTATCATCCAGGAAAAGGGAAATGCTTATAATGAAGGGTTCTTCATGAAGTTGGGAAAGAAAACATGTTACTAGGCAATGCACATGTCATGTAAAACATGCAGTATCTTCACAACAGAACTACTGAATGATACCATTCTTGAAAAAACATCTAAAAGTTAGAGTAAAAAAAAACAACAACGGAAAATCTTGTTTTAGATCCAATTTTTTTTTTTTTTTACATGGTATGGATTTTATTAGGATACCTGTTTCTGTCAGAGGAGTGAAAGTTGGTGTCTGGTCTTAGACATGTGGTGCTGGCACTCCTTACTCTGTCCAGGGATGGCTGCAGGTCGCTGCAACGCCAAAACATGGCAGCAGAACGAGACAGGCAGAGAAACATAGATGGAGACATGATCAGCCAGATCCACGGTGTGATGAGAAAGCAGTAAAATGATTTTTAAAAGCACAGGAAGGAGAGAGAACGGATGTAATTTAGACACCCATAAGAGGAGAGACAGGTATTCAAAATGGGGAGCTTTCAAACTGCAGGGTAATATGAAATGGTTTTATCATAGGTAGTCTTTGCTAGAAAGCAAGTAGCAGGACATCATTGAGATGGTAGGCTGGTTACTTGCCATGGAAACCAGATCTCAAAACTTTGACTGGAGTATGTAAATGATCATCATTTGTCTCATGTCACTTCAGGACATCTTGTAATTTTAAAAGGACATTGTTACCTATCATTGCAAGAAATGAACTCTTAAAGTGGGTGCCCTATGCCTAATAAAGAACATGCAACCAAATAAAAACAAGACAACTCAGGAGTCATTGAATCAGATTCACAAATATGACAACATAAAAGAACACTGGAATTTCAACAAAAGGGGACAAGAAATAAAATGTAACTAATGTAGGTAGGGTTCACCTTCACTTTTTGTCGGAATGAGTGATTCAGTCTAGAAATGGCAGCCATGCTGAGTAAGAAGGGGCTGCTATAAAAGCCTTATCTTTTTTAAATGTTGGTTTAAACTTGTGCTTTTCACTGTAACATTTGATGAGACGGTTTAAAAAGCAGATGTATATTTGCATCCACTCTGTCTATTTGCTGTATCTGGTTGGATTACATCATTATTTGTGTATTTAATCATCTTTGGGCCGGATTTATCAAGATCCAATTTTGCGTGCAGTAATTTGCGCTCGCAAACTGGAATTTTGCGCGAGGGGCT